CCCCATCGCTGTCTGGAATCAATTTGCGCCGAGAGCTGCGCAGCCCTCCGTAACTCCTGCAGCCAACGAGGCCCGGAGTGGGGGCGGAGATGCCCCTCCCCGGGACACGCTCTGCCCTCCGGCGGCAGGGTGCTAGGCACTGTACGCGCAGTGGGTGTGCCTCGAGGCCAGGGGGAGGCAGGGCGGTCAGGGCCGGGGCCGGGGCCGCTCCGGACGGGGCAACCGCGGAAGGCTGCTGGGGCCCCGGCCAGGCCTGGCCGTGCCGCACTTGGCCTCCGTGGCCCGGAGCGACCGCGGAGAGGGGTCGGGCCAGGCGCGGCTTGCCAGGAGAAGCCCGGGGGGAGGTCGCGGGCGCGATGTGAGACGGCGGCCTGCGCATCATGGGCCAGGTTGGCCCCCGGAGCCTGTCACTGGCCGGGGAGACCTGCCTGAGGAGGCAAGTGCCAAGGGGGCTGGAGGCAGACTCAGGCTCTCTGGCTGCAACAGAAGGAGCACTCTTAACATGTGCAGGGGAACCTGCCTTCTTTATTGGCACCTTCCTGGTGTGCGGCTTTGGAAACAGGCCTGGGCCAGCAACGCCCCTGCGAAAGGGCCCTTTGTGCATTTGGGTTTCTTGCCCTGTCTGGAGAGCCGTTGGTGAGAAATCTCCCACAAGCTGCCCCCCAAACCCGCAATCGGGACCCACGTTTGGGCAGGGTGGGGCCCCGGTGCTGGTTCGGGCCGAGGGCCGGCCGAGCTCAGCCAAGCCGGTGCCCAAGCAGGAAACTCTTCCCGCGGGCCCTGAGCACAGCAGGCTGCCCATCTTCCCCATGCAACTAGTGTGCTCAGGCACATGGTCCCCCGCCCTCACGGTGGCCCAGAGGTGCCAGGACCAGCAGCTGTCCGTGGCCATGGCCTCTGAGTGTGTCCAGGCCCCTTTGACAGAGGCCCAAAGAGGAGGCCGCCGGAACGGCTCCCGCAAGCAGCTGCCAGCACGGGCCGAAGCCCTGCCCTGCCCTGCCCTGCCCTGCTGCCCTGCCCTGCCCTGCCCTGCCGCCCTGCCCCTCGATCCTTGAGTGCCAGTGTGCTGGGAAGGAGGACCCCTTGGTCGCAGCCCGGCGCAGGAGGAGAGGACTGGCGACGCTTGCCCGGGCCCGGGACGGGAGGGTGGCCCGTGCTGCCCCCTGCCCGGCACGCCCCCCGTGCAGCCCTTGCCAGCACAGACACGATTTCGTGCCCCTCCCCCGCCCCGCGTGGCTTCCCGGCATCATCCCCCGGCACGACTGCACAGCTCCGGCCTGGGAGGAAAGGCTGGGAATTGTTTCGCTCAGGATGGCTGGAGCCAGGCAGGAAACACCGGGAAGCTCAGCCTCTCCTGGGTCAGCGGCCTGGTTCTGCCCGTGCTCCCTCAGTTCTGACCCATACGCCCCCCAGCATCCCGGACCCGGGGCTCTCCGTGGGCCAGCCGCCCACTTGGACTGGGCTGACTGATTCTCTGCTCGTGGGCAGAGGTCGCGGGGAGCCGGCTGGGCCCGCGCGGCATTTCCGACCGCGAGGGCCGCACACCCATGGGCCACAGTGCCCAGGGAGCGGTGCAGAGTGGCCCATGGGCGGCTGCCCACGGCGGGTCCCCACTGGTTTTTGCCCCACGCTGCTGCACGGGGTGGTAAGGGGGACTCCGGACTGCCCCCGAGTGCTGCTCGGGCACCTTGGGGGCAGCTCTCGCCCGGCAGCTGCTTGGCAGGAGTGGCCAAGGTTCCTCGTTGCCCTTGACGAGCGGCCCTTGCAGGGACCCCCAGGGGCGGTTGGATCGCCCAGCCGGGACGGCAAGCAGGCGGGGGGCTTGCCAATCGAGGAGGCCAGGAGCTGGGCCCACGAGGGGGGGAGCCCGGGCTGCGGGAGCCCTGGGCCGTGTCCCCTGGGCGTCCTGGTGCCCCGCAGGGGCCAGGCCAGGGTCGGCCTTCGGCTCGGAGGAGGCGGGTTGGCACCCTGGGTTGCCCCGTCCCCCGCGAGGCCTCCAGCCAGCCATCACCTCCTGGAGCTACTGCAGCCTTCCTCACCTGGCAACCTGACCTCCGGGGATGATGGGAGTTGCAGTCCCACACATTAGGGGGGCATGCCAGGTTGGCCACGACAGGACACGCAATGCTGCGGCCTGACCCCAACGTGTTTTCCAGTTGTCGTCCTCGAGGGTGGGATCAGGGCCCCTGGTGAGAGGGCCCTTTGGCGAGGGCTCCCGGGGGGAATGCCTTCTGCAGGGATGCTCACGGGCCCCCGGCCCTGAGACGCATCTTGCCACTGGCTGAGGAGGACGCCACCTTCCCAGGGTGCCTCTGCCACAGGCCTCGCGTTCCTCCGGAAAACCTTGTCTCTCCGAGGCTGACGGTTCCACGCCAAGCTTGATCGTTCCCGCTGCCGGTCTGCGTACGTTTGTTTAACCACCGTCCTTGTTGTACTTTCTGGATTTTTGGCAGGCTGTTGGTTGCAAGGGGCGCTGCGAAGGGCTGGACAGAACTCTTTGTGTCCAAAAGGAGGCGAACCTGCGTGGGGCCCAGGGGGCAGCCCGGGGGTCTGATTCTGCGTGTGCCATTGCTGGGGACAGGTGAGCACAGGGCCACCCCAAATGGGGCCACAGGGCTGTGCCGGTGCCCGCCCCAGTCGCCTGGGGCCGATCTGCCCAGTGACCAGGGCCATCCCAGCCCCACTGCTGCTAGGACCCCTGGGGCCCTCCAGACATGTGCGTGGGACTACAGTTCCCATCACCTGCCCAGGCAGCCTGGTCCTTCATGGCTGTGGCCGGTGGAAGTATCCATGGTGAACTCATCTGGAGGGCTGGGCAATGAAGTCGTCATAAGGATGGGGGGGGCAGAAGACTCCTGGGGGCCCCTTGCACTCCTGGCACAGCACAAAAGCAGGACAGGGATTTATTTATTCATTCATTTTATTTCAAACATGTCTATGCCGTCCCCACCGCAACAAAGCCTTGGGGCAGCTCACAACAAAAACTGGGCATGAAAGCCCCAGCAATCCGCGGCGCTGCCTTTGGAGACGGTCCGGACACGCCACCCGCCCGTCGCGCGCCGGCTTCTTGCGCTTTCACTTCGGGTTGGCTGTCCGCCTGCAGCGCGCTGGCTCTGGCCTTTAAGAGCCCCACAGCGCCTGGGCCGCCCCGCCCCGCCCCGCCCCGCCCCAGGCTTTTCTGTGGGCGCCCCTTCGCAGAGAGCAGGCAGGGCCTTCTCTGGGGCAGCCCCGTGGCTCTGGACTTTCTCCAAGGGCAGTTGGCACAGCCCCTTCGTGCTCCCTTCCGGCGAGGGCTCCTGGGCTGCCGGTGGTGGCTTCTCCCCCCCCCCGCCCCCCGGGGTCGGGACCGCCACCCCATTGTAAGCATCAGAGAGCCTGGCTTCGGCTCCACTTCCCCTCCCTGCACCCGCGGGGGGGCAGTTTCTGCAGTGCACCCAGAGTGGTCGAATGCACCCCACCGAATCGGAGGGCCACCCACGGATTCCCCTGCACCCCACGGATTTCGCACGGGGTCGCTCGGCATGGCTCGATCCTAGCGCGCCAGCTACATCAAGGCCCAGGGCGCGTCCACACGTTCGACAGAGCCGCGTCTCACGGATTTCGCGCGTGTTCGGCCGTCCCGCCCCCGTGCGGCGGCCCGGAGCCCGAAAGTCGGCGAGGGACGGGAAGCGGCGCCCGGGAGGATCGGCGGCGGGGCGGGTGGGCGGGCGACGCTGTGCGGGCCCCCGCCTGCTGGGGAGGCCTCGGCCCGCTCGTTCTCCGCGGGGCATCCCCGCCTCGCAGCACCCGCGCGCCCGTGGGGCGCCGGGCAGCCCCTCGCAGCCGCTCCAGGCTTTCCGCGCGGGGCGCGCAGCCAGCGGGTCCTTCTGGTTTCGCTTTGCGGAGCCTTCTTCTCGGGAGGGGAGGACCTCGGCGCGCAAATCTCCGCTTTGCAAAGACTCGGGGAATTCCGGGGGGGGGGACCCCAAGCGCCTCACTTTTTCCTTTGGCACATAAAGGGGCGGGGGGACTGTCTTCCTGGAAACTTTCTGGGGGTCTCGGAGGCTCCAGGCCGCTTCCTACCTTCGCCGAGAAGCTGCGAGGCGGGGCGGGGGGGCTGGGAGCGGGGTTTTGGTGTGCGGCCCCCACTTCGCGGGCGGGGGGGCGAGGGACCGTCCTTCCTGCAGAACCCGGGCTGTAAATTGCAGGGGAAAGTGGACGGCGCGCCTTCGCGGAGATCCCCCCGCCCTCCCCCCCACTTTTGCTGAGGGTGCGGGGACAGTTTTGCGGGAAATCCGGGCGGCGGTCCAGCGGCGCTCGCAGGCGCTGCCCAGAACGGAGCGGACGCTTGGATTCAGCCGGATTCCTGGCCCGGAGCCGCGCGGCCCTCCCTCCCCCCTCCCCGCCCGCCCCCTCCCTCCCCCCTCCCCGCCCCCCGCCTCCTGGCGCGCACCCAGCCCAGCGCAGACTTCGCCGCTCCACATTGCGGAGGGGCTCCTTTGTCCGGCGCTGCCCGGCGTATCCCGCGATCCCGGGCGTCCTGCGCGGGGCGAGCGCCTCCGGCCGGGCTCGCGAGCACCGGCGCCGCTGCGGGCGCTGCGACGGGCGCCTCGCCGCTTCCCCGCCGCCGACGCGCCGCCTGCCGTGGAGAGAGCCGTGCCCGAGAAAGTTGCAGCGGGACGGACGCCGCTGCCCGGGGAGGCGCCGGGGCCCCGCTCCGAGGGCGCGTCCGCCACAGGGACCCTCGGCCGCGGCGCGCCCGGGACGCCTCGGGGGGGACCCCGCAGGACGGGCCGCCCCGCGCAGGCCCCCGGGGGCGACCCGCGGGAGACGTCGGGACGCGCCGGAGCCCTCCGCGGCCCGCTGGCCTCTCCACGGGGGCCGCTTTCGGGGGAGGGGACGGCCCGCTCCGCCGGCGAAGGCTGCTGCCGGCACCCCCCCCTCCCCCGGTCCTGGCCCCAGGAGCTTTCGGAAGGAGCGCCGCGCCGCCGGAGGAGGCCCCCGGGATTACTGTTTCATGACCCCGCGTGAGCTTTCGGGATCCAGCCCTTGCCCCGGCGCCGGAGTATCTTCGCGGCGGCGGATCCCGCTTCCCGCGTCGCCGTCGACTCGCCGCCGCGGCGGAACCCTGGCGCTCCGGGCGCGATGGCGCGGCGCTGGTGCCTGCTCTGCCTCTGGATCCCGCTGGCGCTGGCTGTGGAAGGTGAGGCGAGCGCGGGACCGGGGGGGGGGGCGGGAACCCCCGCGGACGCGGGGAGCGGCGGGGAGGGCAGGGCAGGGAATCCCCGGGCTGCCGGGTTCCCGGGAAGGTGCTGCCCGGGGAGCACCGGCGCGCAGGGGAGGCGCGGCTGCGGGGTGGCAGGCAAGCGCGAGGGGTCCGCCCGCTCGCCCTCCTCGTTCTTCCTTTCTTCCTTCCACCCCGATCTATTTTTAAAGCGCCCGTTCAAAGTGCTCCGCGCCCCGCATCGATTCTGTAAGGATCAATTCGCTTCTCCTGCGCTCACCATCTTTGCTTTCTCCTCCTCCCCGAAAGAACTACGATCCGCGTCGCCTTTCATCTCCAAATTCCTCTCCGTCTCTTCTTCGTGCCCATTCGCCCCCCCCCGCGCTGCCTTTCGATCCCCCCCGCCTCTCCACCCCGAAGCGTTGCCCCCAGAGACTGAGGCGCGCTCGGCCGCCCCTCCTCGGCCGCCCCTTGTTTGCGCGGGGAGCTCGGGGTTCGGCGGGGCCGGGGGCTCAGCGGGGGCTCGCGGGCGCTGACGTGCCGGGCGCGGGAGAGGGCAGCCGCGGCGGGGGCGGGGGGCCCCGGGCCGGGACTCCTGCATGGACTCTCGCAAAGTGGGCAGGGGCTGCGGAGTTCCTTGGGACCCCCCGGGGGGGGAGCGGTTGCCGCGTGGAGCGGAGTGGGGCGAATGGCCGGGCCCCCAGATGGCTGTCGGGGTCCCAAACGACTGGCCCGGCGGCGGGAGAGGAGCAGGGGCCCTTTCCCGGGCCCCCCGCTGGGACCCCGCGGGTGGAGGGCCTTCGGGGGCGGCCCGGGCGCTGCTGCCACCTGCTGCCTGCCGGGCTTCTCTGCACAGGCGGAGAAAGAAAGTTGGCGGATCAAGTTTTCCTCGCGGCAGCTCCTCGCCCTCTACCTGAGCGGCCGGGCAGCCCATCCCCCCGGCCCCGCGTCCCGTTTCCCGCACCCCACCGGCCGTCCGGAGGGCCGGGAGCCCCTCGCGCCCCTGCTTCGCGGGCCTAGCCGCCCGGCCCCGGCCCCACCTGCCACGGGAGCCCGCGGCCCGCGGCGCTGGAGCTGCTTCCCGGTCCCCCTCGCCCAGCCTGCTCCCGCCCCGGCCCGGCCCCCCTCCAGGCCCCCGGCCCTCCTCCATCCCCGGCGGGCGCTCGGATCTCACTGAGAGGGGCTTACGGGACCGAGAAGCGGCCCCTTTCCCTAGTGCCGCCCCCCCCCACACCCCACAGCTACCGGGCCGGGGAAGCAGGGCCGCCCGGGAGGGGCTCGGGGCTCAGGCCCCCTTTTTCAAACGACAAGGAGCGCCGCCCCCCGCCCCGGCTGCCAGAACCCCCCCCCCCCCCCGGCCGTCTCCCGCACCCCGCCTGGCCGCCCAGCATCGCTGCCGCCTCCCCTCGTCCGGATGGGCCTCCGCGGAGGTCGCGCCTCTCCCAGGGCTGAGCAGGAGCGGTGGAGCATATAACGCCTTAATTGAATCCCTCTATTGTGGCTTCCCCGCCAGACCCACGTGGGCCATTCAGAGCTGCCCCCCCGCGCCATCTCCCTGCAGCCCTGAGATGGGGTCGGGGGTGCTGCTGAGTCTCAGAAGCTGGGGGGGTCCTCCTCTGAGGCTCTCGTCCAGCCCGGGGGCTCCCCCGGGCCCCCAGCCCCACTGGGGCAGGCCCTCCCTGGCCCCTCATCAGAGGGGGCTGCCCGGGCCTTGCCCGCTGCCCTCCGGCTCGGCTGCCCGCCCTGCATGCAGGGTCCCGGCCCCCGTGCGAGAAGAGGGGGCCCTGGCCTGCTCCCGGCCCTCTGCTGCAAGCGGGGGGCTCGTGCCCCCCGGGGCCGGAGCCTGCTTGGGCCCGTCCCTGGAAGGCTGCCCTCCACCATGGGCACCCTGGGGGTCCTTTCAGTGCCCACGTCTCTGGGACTTGCCTCTTCCACCCTGGCTCGGCTGGACTGCAACTCCCAGCATCCCCAGCCCACATGACCGGGTGCTCAGAGTGGCAGATGGGCATGCAGGAGGCCCGGCTGAAGCTCCCACTCGTGCAGGACGCTTGGGCACCGTCACTCAGGCCGTCACGGACTGAGCCCGGCCTGCCACCTCGCAGGGTCGTTGGGAGGGCCAGTGAGGAGGGGGAGGGCTGTGCGCTGCCTTGGGCTCCCCACAAGAGGAATGTGGGGCTGCATGCGGATGCTCCCCTCCAGAGCCCCGACACCCGGCATGGCTGGCTGCCTCAGTGCGCTCCCCACCCTCCGCCCAGGGGGATCCCAGCTCTGTCTGGGGCTGGAGGAGCCCGGGAACGGCGGGGCGGTGGCTGGGATGCCAGGGGCGCGTCCCGTGGCAGCGAGGGCCAGGCCCAGGTGCTCTGGGCACCTGTGCAGGGCCGGGATGCCCTGCGCGGCCCGCATTGGAACCGGTTGCCCCGGCTGGCTGGGGAGCCGCCGGCCCTGGGGCCCCCCGAGAGCGCCACAGGGACGCCGAAGCAGGGCCTGGCACGCCTCTTACCGCAGGCAGGCGCGGCACCCTTTCATCTCGCGCCCGGCGTGGTCATCAAAGCGAGGCCTGCTGCCCGCCCGCGCCTCGGCGAGGCCCAGGATCCCTGCGCTCCGCAGGGCGGAGGCTGCAGCGCCACCCCGGCTGGGATCGCGCCCGTCGCAAACACGCCCGCGCGGTCCGTGGCCCTCCCAAGCCGAGGGGCGGAGAGGGGCCAGGGCGGACCGGCTGCAGGCAAGACGCGGCCCGTGGCCAGGCCCTCCAGCGCCGAGCCCGAGCCGTGGAGTGTCGTGGCCGAGAGCGCAGGGCTGGGACTCGGGTGCTCCGGCCGTGCTCCCCACGCGTCCATGGAGCCCGCTGGGTGCCTTGGGGCCGTCCCAGCCTCTCAGCCCAGCCTGCCTCACAGGGTCGTTGTTGTGGGGAGAAGACTGAGAGCAGGAGCATGATCCAAGCCGCTTTGACTTCTCTGTAATGAAGGAAGCGGGTTCACTCGTAGTTCCACTGGATTAACGGCCCAGCTCCACCCGTCCAAGGGAGCCTGGCGGGGGAAGGCTGGTTAAGGTGGGCCGAACAGGACCACACGCACTGGGGACACCCTGAGCAAGAGATGCCTGTGCCAGCAGGGGGGGGGCTCCACGGCCTTTCCAATGTCATATTTCTGCCCCCTCAGCTGAAGGCCGGTTGCCAGCCCCTCACAAGCAGCCGCGCTCCAGCCTGGGGCCTTCCACTGGCCAGAAGGGCTGGGGAGGGCGGGGGCTGTAGCCCGCATCTGGGGGGCACTGGGCCAAGGGAGCCGTGGAGTGTGCCACTGGAGTGGCCACGGGAGAGGGCTGCTGTCTGGCCAACGACCCCTGCCCGCCTCACCTGCCTGGGCGCGCAGGAGTTGGGAACAGAGGCACCTGGCCAGGCGAGGGGGGCCCACCCCTTCCTCAGCTTGCCCGAGACTCTGGCGCGGCCCCTCGAGGCCTGCCCTGCCTTCAGCCTCAGAGGCTGGGGCCGTGAGGGCTCCCCCGGCCAGGCTGCACCGGCCCGTCCTGATTCAGGGGCGGGAAACGCCCGGGGCTGCCTGGGCAACCCGACAACCGTCCCGGGCACCGGCACAGGGTGGCCGTCCAGGGTGCCAGGTGGCAGACTCAACGCAGCCTCCCCCGGGGACTGTGCGCCGGGCGGCCGGGATGCTCCCCACCAGGGCGCTCCCCCCAGGGCTTTCCCTTGGCCTCTGCTGAGCTGGCTTTTGCAAACTCCCCCGCTCTGTGGGCCTGGGGAAGCGTCTGGGGCGCACTGGCGCTCGCGGGCGGGCCGAGGGCAGCGGGCGCGTGCCCGGCTCCTGCAGCCGGCTGGCCGCTCATCTGGCCCGAGGCCCAGAGACACCGAGGGGAAGGGGCTTGTCCCCTGTTGGCCGGGGCTGCTCAGCCCAAGACACGGCAGCAGTTCCTAAAATGATGCCCGGCCTGAAGAAAGTGGAGAGGGGGGCAGTCCCCCCCACGACAAACGGCTCCGCAAAGCTGGTGGGCAGGAGGGGGAGGGCAGAGGGCACAGGCCAAGCGCGCGGAGGCTGAGGCGGCTTTCCAGGCCTGGGGGCCGCTCGTTCCCTCCGCATCCGAGGAGCGTGCCTGTGTGCGCAGGTTGCTGGGGAGCATGGGCTGCAGGGTGGAGCTGTGTTTCCCCGCTGCCGGCAGGATCCTGGGGGCCCCGGTTGGCATGTGTGCACAGGGACTGGATGAATCCTGGGCCTCCTCCGGCAGCACTTCCCCTCGTGTTCTCGGGCTGCCGCCCTGGCATTCGGCAAGACGCTGCCTGGTCTCGGAGACCGGACTCGCTGGTGCCTGGCAGCACAATGGGGAAGCTGGTCTCCCGGGCCGTGTGCCCAGGCTCTCCTTCCGGAACATGTTGGGCATTGGCGCGTCGGGGAGCTGGGCCGGAAGGCGGTCCCTTCTCGTTTGCACCTGGCTGTTCCCCAGCCCTGGTGTTGCAAGAGGGAGGAAATAATTTAGGGTTCTCTGCACCCGGCTGCGACTCCATCAGCCTCCTGTGCCCTTTCTCCCGCCCCTTCCCGTCATCGCTCGCCGTCATAACTTTGAACACTCCCTGCTCTGCTTTGTAGGGAAAACATCGCGGCCTCGTGACTCTCATGGGTTCCCTTTTCCGGCTGCAAAAACATGGTGCCGTTGCTTGTCCAGAGAATGCCTGAGTGGCCAAGGCAGTGCAGATGCATTCTCGTGTCGCTGCACAACAGCCCTGCCAGGCAGGCCAGCATTAGTGCATTCACCGCCCTAGTAATGCTGCAGGACTGCGGCTCAGGTGACCAGGGAGCTGGTCCGTGGCCCTGGGGGTGACCAGAAGCCTCTCCTGTCCTGTGCCGACTGCGGCTGAAGGACGCAGGCCGGGATCTCTGCAGCCCGCCTGGAGTCGGCGGGATGGCGCAGGAAGCCGGGCGGGCCTCAGTGGGATCCCGCACGCTGCGAATCCCGGCTGCCCGGGCCGTGGGGTCCCTTGCCCGGGCGCCCTCCAGAGCGGCGGGGCCCCCGGGCCAGGCCAGGGCGGGAGAGGCGCCCTTTGGCCAGGGCTCGCCAGGCGGGCCGAGGGAAGGCGGGCTGCGCTCGCTTCCTCCCGGTGCTGTTGCCCGCCGAGGCACGTGCCCCCCGAGGCCCCCGTTCCAGGCTCGGAGGGAAAGGGGGCGCCCGCCCGAGGGGCGCTGGGGAGGGGGCTGGGTGCGGCGCTCGCTTTCTGCGGCGCACAAGCTGCGCGGGCGCTTCCCCTTCCATGGGGCCGCTGGACGAGCGTTTCTGCGCCCCGCGGACTCCTGGCCCTCCTGGCCCCTCTCTGCCGTGGGGGCGGGACGCGGCCGCCCGCGAGCGAGCGAGCGAGCGACCAGCTGCGCGGGAAGGAGAGTGCGCGACGGCTGGATGCGCGGCGCGGTGCGGCGCGGCGCGGGCCCAGGTGCCTTTCTCCCGGCGGGGCGGCCCCCGCCCCCGCCCCCGCTAGAGGGGCCTGCGCGCCGAGGAGCCCAGGCGCCCGGGCCCTCGCCGCGCTGCAGGAGCCCCCTCCCGGTTCCCGAGCAGCCGGGCCCCCGACATCTGGCTTGCATTTCGGGAGGAATGAGCGGGGCTGCGGGCGGGCGGGGCGCGGCCTCCATGTTTGGCGGGGGGGGCAGTCGAGTGCACGCAGCCGGCTCGGGGCCCGGGGGCGCAGCCGCAGACTCGGGGAGCCCCGGCTCAGGGGCGGCCCCTCGAGGAGCCGCGGGGGGAGCGGGCAACGATCTCCTCGCTGCCCGCCCCGGCCCGCTCTGCCCCTCGGGCGGCGCAGCCAGCTGCGGCATCGCCCTGCAATTACCCGGCGTTCCCGGCTGCCCCAGATCGCACCCTCCCCTCCCCTCCCCTCCCCCGGGGCATCCCAGCCCCCACCTGCCCCAGCGGGGGAAGGAAAGCCAGGCTGCCGGTGCGTGTTTAAATCCCGCTCGTGCGTCAAAGCTGGCGATGGATGGGGCGTCCCTCGGCCTCCAGGGAGCCGGAGTCCCGGGGGGGTGGGGCTGGGATGGGGTCCCACGGCGAGGGGAGAGGGGGGCCCGGGACGGAGAGGCGGGAGGGGGATCGCTTAGCCCGGAGGGTGTGGTGGGTGAGAATTGATGGAGGGGGCTTCTGGTGGCGGAGATGGAATTGCTCCCATGAGAAAGGAAGCGGCACGAACAGAACAGCGGGGCGGCGAGATTAAAGCGGCTCCATCGTTGCTTGGGCCTTCCAAAGTTTGGCAGGCGCTCGCTGGTTCCGTGGCCTGGCCCCCCGTGGCTGCTCCACAGAGCGGGCCGCACATGGGCGCCCTTGCATCCTGCAGAGTGAGGCCAAGGGTGGGAGCCGGCAGCACCGGCAGGACCAGGCCGAGCGCGGTCCTTGCGTGCGAGCCCCACGGGCCCCCTGTGGCCCCCACGGAGCCTGCAGGCCTGCCACGGGCAGGGGGATGGCAGGGGACGCCAGGCCCGTCCCCCGTCCCCCATCCCCCCGCAATGGAGCCACACACTGCAGCCGAGGACCGGGCCTCTCCATGCCAGGAGGCCCTCTCTGCCCGGCCTGGGAACAAGGCCCCCCCATTTGCCACACGGGGTCTTTGCTCTCGGGCGCCCTCGCCAGCCGGGGGGGGGGCTGCTGCTTCTGCCCCCCGTGCCAGGAGCGTGCCTGCGTTGTGGGTGCCACTCCGAATCGAGGACCCCTGTTCAAAGGGGGTGGGGAGGAGTCCGGGGCGGGGAGCATTTGCTGAGCCGTGTGGAATAAGTGTGCGGCGTGGGGGGGGCCTCCCGATGCGAGTGGGGGTATCGCTCAGAGGGTGGGAGTTGGTTTCCTGGCCCTGGGCGGCAGCGGCTGTTTGGGGAAATGACGCGAGTCCGGCTTTTTATAAATATTCCACCACGGAGCGCCCACCTTTGACCCTGCTCCGCTCCCAGAATCCTGTGCAGCAGGGAGGGTGGTTTACATTGGCCCCGGCAGCTGCGGCACGTGCTTCGGAAAGCGGGTGGGGGGGATTTGGCTGGGATCTCTCGCTACCTGGGTGGTGAGGTGCTCTTTCCAGGGTCCGTTCCCAGGGAAATGGCAACACTTCAATGCAGTAGCTGCGTGTCTGGGATGCCGTGAGCTCTGCTCTGCACGTTCAGGTGGAGATGATATTCCTCACGGCCGCGTGGCGGGGCAGGGGCGCCGGGGGGGGCGGAATAGGAAGCAAGGCCCGTGGGGCACGGCTGCTTCCGCAGAGAACCCAGGAGTCCTGCCCGGTCGTGGATTTAAGTCTCATTCGTGGCTTTCCACCTCCAGTTGCCCTGAGTGGGCAGGCACCACACCGCTTGCCGGAGGAGCGAGCGGACGCTGTTTGTCCACACGCAAAGCCCCCTGCGCCTTTCCCAGGGGGTGACGGGATGTCGGCCACTGGTCGGGGGGACAAGGGCCCCCGTTGTTCTGTGCCGTCCGGCCGCCTCCGACTTGTGGGGACCCCGTGGATGAATGCCGTCCAAAATGCTCAGCTCGTACAAATCCACATTTGCACCACTGTAACTGCAGTCCATGACCGGCGTTGGCAAACTTAAAATGCTGCTAGTCCTCAGGAAGGTTTGCCCCGTAGAGCCAGGCGTTAACACAAGACCTGGGTTCTGACTAACATGATCGGGAACGTGGGGCACGATGCGCTTGCAATCCCTTGCTGGGCCGGCTCGCTGTTTGCCTTCGTTTTCTTTCAGAAAGCCGGTTTTGTTGGTAGGGGCGATCTTGCTCGGCCCCGCGGCCGGGTCTTTGCTCCCTCGCTTGCCCGCCCACGACCCCCGCAGCCCCCTGGCTGCGCTCCATCACGGGGGGGGCGGGTGCTGGGTCAGGCGAGGCAGCCCCGGGCCCGCCGGCGGCCGGCCTTTGTGGGAACGCAGCGCTGGCACGCACTCGGCACGGCGTCGCCTGTGCTCTTGGCGAGAGATAACCATGCCCCCCGCCCCCCCCCTCTTCCAGTGAACCTCATGAACACCAAGCTGGAGACGGCGGACCTGAAGTGGACCACGCACCCGCCTGGGGACGGCCAGGTGAGCGGCCCGGGGCAGGGCCTGGGCCCCGCGGGATTCTCGGCCGGCGCAGGCCAGCCTTCCCCCAGGTGTGTGGGACTGCAGCTCCCATGCTCCCCGGACGGCGTGGCCAGCGGCCTCCGGTGGGGGAGCTGCTCCCGGCAGTGGCCGCAGCAACGTGGACCTGGGGTCTTGCTGGAGGGCCGTCGGGGGGAGCCCATCGCCGCCCGCTTTCTTCGCGTCCAGGCGTGTTTTCTGGATCGGGTCCCCTTGGGTTTGGCTCTGGGGGTGGTTCCCAGGTGAGGGGGTGTCGCTGCCTGTCGGACGGGCGACCGGCCCGCCCCCTTCCCTGCTGTGCAGCTCAGCCAACGGATGCAACTGCAGAGAAGCGCGGTCTTTGTTCAGACTTGACTTTTTGGGTGGTGTGACGGGTGAAACTGATGGCGTGTTGCCAGCGCTCCCGGGCGGCTCCTGCCCGCACTTTCTCAGACGCCCATTCCTGAGCTCCTTGGCAGGAAGGGGTGGGGAAGGAGCCAGCCGGGGTTTGCCAAAGGGGAGCAGCCGCTGTTGGGGCGCTCGGCCTCTCCGTCCCCGGCCCGATCCAGCAGGGCGCTCTGGGCCCCAGCCCCTCAGGGCCTCTCCTGCAGGCAGAGAAGGGAACAGAGGTGCCGCTTGTCCCGGGGCCGTCTTCGCCTTATCCGGCCTTCCCCAACCTGGTGCTCCCCAGTGCGTGGACTACAACTCCCATAACCCTCCAGGTGGCCTCGTCCCCCAGCCAGCAAACTCTGGGAGTGCTGGGAGGCTGTGTGGCCTTCCAAAAGAGCCGCCCGGGAGGGGAGGGGAGGGGAGGGGAGGGCCGGCCCCTCCGTGGGAAGGCAAGGAGCCACGGATGGCCTCTCCCTGCGGGGCTGGGAAGCCCCTGCCAGAATCCTGTGCGGCCTGCTGCTGCTTGTCTGTGTTGACAAGACTGCACCAGCTGTGGGCACGGGAGCTGCCAGCCCGGCCCCGAACATCAGCACAGCTGCCGGGAACAGGTTTGCCCTTCCATGCCCGAAAGTGCCCCCGTGAGAACCGGCAACGAGGGCAGTCGCCCGAGGTCGGCGTCTTTCCTCTTCCCTCCCCACCACTTTTCCACTCGCGTCGTGGCCTTTATGCTGCGAGCCCGAGGACAGAGACAGCTGCAGTCCTGGTGTTTCCCAGTCTCTCCGGGATCCCCTTCCCACTGCAGAGTGGGGCCGGAATGCACGGTTGCCGCGGTTGCGGGTTGCGGTTGTGGCCCTGGCCTCCGGAGGGCCCCCGCGGGGGGGGGCGGCCTCCCCCCTGAGCCGGCCGTCTCGCCCCAGCAGTGGGAAGAGATCAGCGGGCTGGATGAGGAGCAGAACAGCGTGCGCACCTTCGAGGTGTGCGGCGTCCACGAGCCCAACCAGAACAACTGGCTGCGGACCACCTTCGTGCCGCGGGCGGGCGCCACGCACACCTACGCCGAGCTGCGCTTCACCGTGCTGGAGTGCTTCTCCATCCCGCGCGTGACCCGCTCCTGCAAGGAGACCTTCAACGTCTTCTTCTACGAGGCCGACGGCGACGTGGCCACCGCCACCTTCCCCTCCTGGATGGAGAACCCCTACGTCAAGGTGGACACGGTGGCGGCCGAGCACCTCACCCGCAAGCGGGCCGGCATGGAGGCCTCGGGCAAGGTCAACGTGAAGACCCTCAAGGTCGGGCCGCTCTCCAAGGCCGGCTTCTACCTGGCCTTCCAGGACCAGGGCGCCTGCATGGCGCTGCTCTCCGTGCGCCTCTTCTACAAGAAGTGCCCCGCCGTGACCGTCAACTTCACCGCCTTCCAGGAGACGGTGCCCAGGGAGCTGGTCATGCCGGTGGCCGGGCGGTGCGTGGCCAACGCCGCCAAGGTCAGCTCCCGGCCCCTCAGCATGTACTGCCGCGAGGACGGGCAGTGGGCCGAGCAGACGGTCACCGACTGCACCTGCGCCCCCGGCCACGAGCCCTCCGAGGAGAACACCAAGTGCCGAGGTGAGGCGCCGCGCGGGGGGCCGGGGCCCGGGCGCCCTGAGGGGACGCTGCGACGGCGGGCCGTGAGCTGGGGGCCCGAGGCCGCCGGGGGTCACTGGCGGGGGGCTGCCTCGCCCGGCCCCTTCCCAGCGGACTTGGCACCCCTCGGAAGAGGCAGGGCCCCCGGGCCGGTGGCCGCGTCGCATGGGGAAGGCACCTGCCTCTTCCTGGGTCCTCCTGGAGCAGCTGATGCTGGAGTGAGCTGGGGGGTCCCCTGGGCCTGACACGGGGCAAGCCAGCCCCTCCCTCCCGCCGCCCAGGAGTGCGGCTAGCACTCCTGGCCGCAGGGGGCAGTGAGGCCTAGTGGGCACGGACAGAGCCCCAGCGGCTCAGAGTCCCGGACGTGGAGGCCGCAGGAGAGCAGGGCGCTGGGAGCGGGTGCTGTGGTGGCCTGGCTTCTCCCTCTGCCCCCCTCTGCAGGGGATGGCGTGTCGCTGCCAGGACCCTCCCGGGGGACCCTCCCCTTGCAACTGCTTCCCCTCCTGCGCTCCCTTTGTCTCTCCGCTGGGCCAGCCGCCACGGGGAAGGGTCTTTGAACTCCCGGCTGGCTGCCCGGCCGGCCGAGGAATGCCAAATATCTGGGGGTCAAGGACGTTGGCCAGGAGGGGGAGGGGGAGAGGGCTGCCGGGATGCAAGGACAACTTGGGGGCGGTGGGGAGAAGGGGGTCTGGGAAGGGGGCCGTCCTGCATGCTTGGTGATCACGCTGGCGGGCCCCCACCTTGGCTGTGCCGCCCCATGGATTTGGGGGCCTCCGCGTGGCAGACGCCCACGTCCACGCTGCAGGAACAGATGCGGGAAGCCCGCCCTCATGCCCCTTCCGCCCGTCTGCCTGAGGAGGGGGCACCGTGGACCGCCCCCGGGGGGGCATCCCGGAGTCTGGCCGCCCTTGGGGAGGGCTGGCCCTCCGGCTCCCCACGGTGCTGCCTGGAGGAGCGGGTCCTGGCCGCTGAGCCCACGGGAGCACAAGGGGCCTGGGGGGAGCTGCCCGGAAGAAGGCCTGTCGCCTGCCCCTCCCGGCCCCCGCCTGTTCTGGCAGGCCACCCCTGTGCGGCTCCCGATTCCCATGTATGGACAGAGGACTGTGAGGGTGTCCGGATGGCCCCCTCCTGCTGGAGCGTGGCCCTCTCCTCAGAGTGCCGCTTCAGGCTCGGAAAGGGTGAAACAAGCACACACACCCACACACCCACACGCACGTGCGAGTGCCTGGCTGTAGTTCCTCGGAGATCAAGCACAGGCCCCAGGCCGCGCTTCCAGTCCTGTGCTCACTGGGAGCACTGGGCAGCTCCGCTCTTGCCCCCGGGCTCGGCTCAGAGGCCTCCCGCCCCGTCCGAGGGGCCACTCCCTGTTTTCACTGAGTGCGGAAGGTCAACCGCTCCGCCAGCTGCCATTGCAAAGTGAAAAGGGAATTCGACGGGTATTCTTTCCTGCCCAAGTTCTGGGGGTCCATGCTGAAGTTTGCGAAAGCAAAACCAGGCCTTTTGCCCGCCACCAAAATCTCCCCCTTTCCCCCCCCCCCATGAATTCTGGCTCTTTGGTTTGTTTTCAAACGGGTGTCGCGTGTGCTGAGACCCTGCCCCGTTGCTGCTTTTTGCTCTGGTTTTATCCTGTCTCAAACCTCGGAGTCTTTCTGTTTTGTCTTCCCACATTGCAATTTGGGGTTTTTACTTCTGGGAAGCACCCGGAGAAGTCTGGCCATCAGGCAGAGTAGATAAGCAAAAAATAGAGGCAGCGCTTTAAAGCAAGGTGAACGGACTCGAATGTGGGAGAGCGTCCATTAAAACCGGGGCGGTCGCCCTCTCCTGCCGGGGCGTGTGGGCCGGCGCTCGGAGCACCCTGCCGGGCACCCGGGTGGGGAAGGCGTGCGACGGAGGCGCCTCGCTCTTTCTCCCGCCTGCAGCCTGCGCGCCCGGGACGTTCAAGCCGGCGCAGGGCGAGGGCTCCTGCCAGCCGTGCCCCTCCTTCAGCAACTCCCACGTCCCGGGGTCGCGCGAGTGCCTGTGCCGCCTGGGCTACTACCGGACGGAGGAGGACCCCCCCGCGAAGCAGTGCACCAGTGAGTCCCGGCTCCGGGGGGCGGGGGCCGCGGGGCGGGGGGCGGCGGCGGAGGGCTCACCTCGCCTCTCTCCCCTGCTCAGCCACGCCGTCGGCGCCTCGCAGCATCGTGGCCAAGATCAACGGCTCGGTGGCCGTCCTGGAGTGGAGCGGGCCCCTGGAGAACGGGGGGCGCGAGGACGTGGCCTACCACGTCGTCTGCCACGAGTGCCCGGAGGGGCAGAGCTGCCAGCCCTGCTCCCGCCTGGCGTACGCCCCCCGCGCCCGGGGGCTCGTGGAGCGCACCGTCACCGTGGAGGGGCTGCGGCCGTACGTCACGTACTCCTTCCAGATCCAGGCCGTCAACGGCGTCTCGGACCTGAGCCACAACCCGCCCCAGTCGGAGTCCATCAACATCACCACCAACAAAGACGGTGAGTCGCCCGCGGGTCCGGCACACCCGGGGAGCCCCGCGGCCCGCAGCGCCCGCCCGGCCCGTTCCCGCCGGCCTCCGGTGCTCGTCGGCCGCCCCGTGTGGCCTGCCGCCCGGCCTCAGCCCACCCTGCCTTCTCCCCGCAGTCCCCCAGCCTGTGTCCGAGGTCCATCCGGCATCTGTGAGCCCCAACGGGGTGACTCTGACCTGGCCTCCCATCCAGCCCCCCACGGGGAGCATCCTGGATTACGAGGTCAAGTATTACGAGAAGGTGAGTGGGGGGACGGGGCGCCTTTCGGCCCTGCGCTGGGTGGCGGAGGAGAGGGCTGGTCACGTGTGGGGCGGTTGCGCCTCCGACCCAGGGCCAGGCGGGGCACCTGCCCAGGGGGTGGGCAGGTGTCCGGTGGAGGGGCGTCGAAGGGGGCGGTCCCAGCGGTGCTTGGCTGGGAACTGTCCCGGAACTCCCAGCATGCCTTTGGTGTCCTTTCCCGTCCAAACCCAGCTAGGACTGCCCCTCAGTTGATCCGTCGTGCGGAGTTTAGTTAATACTTGGCCACAACAAGGGCTGGGCCCAGCGATCGTCCCGCAGAGAGTCAACCCACTCGAACGAATAGGTTTTAAGTGAAGGCCAGCCGGGGCTGCAGCCCCACGGCTTGGATTTGAACCTTCCCTCCACAAAGGGCACGTCGAGGGGGCTTCCCTGCCCCTGCCTTGCCTCTCTCGGCTCCCGCACTCCAGAAACTCCGGCTCCGGGGCCTGCGGACCCTTGGGAATGGGGGGTGCTTGTTGGCGGGCTCGCCTCCCCCTCCCCGCACGTGTGGGCCCAGGCCGGCCGCTCTGACGCCAGCGGATGGCTGTGCAGTTGCCGCCCTCCTCTTGGGGGACCCGGGAGGCGAGGGGCCACCCCCGCAAGCCGCGTGAGCCCATGTGGTGCGAAGAAGGCGCCAAGGCTGCCCGGGCCTCCGCATGCAGCCTGGCGCCAACGGCACTTTTAAGCCGGTCCATCAAGGCCACCGTCCAGTGCGATTCGGCGGCCCTTGAACTGTGGCACCCTCCACAGTCAGCCAGCCTGCTGGCTGGGGATGATGGGAGGTGGCTCTGATGCCCTGAAGGTGGGAGCAGCTACTCTGGGTCAGCGGATCCCGACGGAAAGGGAAGGCTGGTGGGCGCGGTGGGCTGGGCAAGGGGGGGGCGGGGCGGGCGTTACTGGAGTCGAGCCGGAAGACTGGCGTGGCGCCATTTCAGCGGGGCCGCGGGGCCACGGGCAGGGCCGAGAGCTGACCCCCCCACTGCTTCCCCTGCAGGGTGTCGGGGGGCCCATGTTCGTGAAGACCTCCGAGAACCACGTGTCCCTGACCGGGCTGCGCCGAGGGGCCGTGTACGTCGTGCAGGTCCGTGCCCGTTCCGAGGCCGGCTACGGCGGCTTCGGGCCCGAGCGGGCCTTCCAGACCCAGGGGGCCGGTGAGTGAGTGGGGCAGCCCCGTCGGGCTGGCGTCGCATCGCGTCTCCCCGTCCGCGTGCCGACGGCGCAGCACAGGCCGCCGGCGCGGCACCTCCGCTGCCCAGGTGGCCGTGCCGTGGCCCGGGTCGGCTTCCCGCCCCAGAGCTCCGCAACAGTGGCCGGCTCCTTTCTCCGCCACCCGAACCCTGGAACGTTCCTCGCATTTGGGCAGGGGGGGCGGCTGAACGGCTGCAGCGCAAATCCAGGAGCCGTTGCACAAAAGCGGGCTGAGTCGTGCCGGAAGTGGCATCATCTTAGGCCTACAGAGGTAGCGTCCCAACTCGGTACATTTCCCATTTTTGCGGGGGGGTGGGGGCAGCTCTTCCGTGTACTTTCCTGACAAGGGGATTGGATTTTATTCTTCAGAGAAGTGGCATCTTCTGAGTTGCACAGATTCTACTGAGCTGGCAAACGGTTGTTTTTTTGAACTTTTTCCTTTCCAGGATTAGTTGCATGGGACTATGAAAGTCACTGGGGGATGCGTCGAGGCGTGTTGCCTCAGCTCCTTTTCCCATGGGTTCGGTCGCTGGGGGCGGAGGGCTTCCGAGGGAGCCGGGGAACGGACCCTTTCCTGGGGGCAGAAGCGTCTGCTGCCCAGGAGGCGTCCTGGGCGTTGCCGGCCGGGCTGTGGCAGGTGCAGGAGCAGCTGCCCCGCCGGGGAGGGTCGCCACTGCTTGTGCCTGTGGCTGGCGGCTCCCTGGGCCCCGAGGGCCCCCACGCACCCGGGGGCCCCATGGCTGCCCAAACGCTCGTGCTGGCTCTGCCCACCGGGTCGCAGCCCTTCCCCAGCCCAGTGGCAAGTTTCTGGCAGCAACAGAAAGGGGGGGAACGGGCAGTCGGAAGGCAGGGAGGCTTGGGGAGCCCCCGAATCAAAAGCGATGGCCACCCCTTCCTGGATCAAAATAAATAAAACAACTCATCCTAGGAGAGGGACTGCGCCCAGTTCTTCCCGCTTTTGCCTTCCGTTTCGCATCGCTCTGCTTTCTGCTAACGCAGCTGCGTCAATCTGGGGAATTTCCTGCTTGGCCTCATCCCTTCCTCAGGTTTTAAGGCTGCCTCTGGCCCTCGCCGCAGCAAAGGTTCGGCTCTCGCATAATTTGGAACAGACCCCCCCCCCTTGCCTGACTCAGTGCTGGGGCTCAGGCGTCCCGCCCTTTTCCAATGGAAAGCCTTTTCTGCTCTTCCCACCTGCGGCGTTTCCCCGCCTGGATGCTGCCGGGCCCCTGCCTTGGGAGGGCCTCCTTCAGCTCGTTGGGGCCCACAGGGGCCTCTTCCCCTGCGTGGGGCAGCTCCTCCAATTTCCCTTCCCCAGAGCGGTCGGGCCGTGCGGCTCTGCACGGGAAGCTTCCGACTCGCCCCCCAGCCACTCAGCCTGGGCGGTGTTCGCAGGGAGGGGGAGCCGGAGAGGACGGTGCTGATGGCTTTTCCAGGGGGGGACTGTCTGGCAGAGCGTACGATGCCTGACCGTCTGCTGAGCAGGTTAAGCAACCGGCTGGCAAAAGCTGAATGTCCCCGGCCCTCCTTGCGGGTTTGTGAGGAGGCAGCCAAGAAATCGCCGCCTGAGAGGCCACGTCCCGGGGCAGCTTCCGTGGAGCGACGCGGAAGTTGCTGGGAACGGCATCCCTCCTGCCGCACCGCCCAGGCCCAGAAAAATCCTCCTGTGTGACAACTAAACAGAGAAAACCACGGGCTCCCACAGATTTGGGATACTCTGGGTTGTGGTGCAGTTTAGCAGAGGCATTCCGGTTACTTGAGGTCATTGGGCTGGAAGTGATCGGCTGGCTTTGCCGTCCGGGCGGTTGAAGCACACCTGAGCGATTTTTTCTCAGGTCGCATAGCGCAGCATATCACCCAGCGCACGCAGGTTTCTGTCCTCTGAAGGTGCTCCTGGGAACCGACCCACAATCCCCCAAGCTCTTCCTTTCCCTCTGCCACGCACAGAGTCGGGAAGCAGTACGGAGAAGCTGGCGCTCATCGTGGGCACGGCGGCTCTGGGGGCGCTGGTGGTCCTGGCCGTGGTCATCGTGGCGATCGTCTGCCTCCGGTAAGGCGCCAGGGCCCGCGGGGGGCGTCTGGGCCGCGACCGGGGCCAGGAAGGGGGCTGGGCAGGGCGAAGCCCCAGGGGCCGAGCCCCGTGTCGGAGGCGCTCTCGGGGGCCCCTCACGGAGGTGGGTGCAGTCCCTGTGCAGCGCGGCCGGGCGTCCCGGTGGCCGAGGGAGGGAAGGAGGGAGCCGCTGCGCCTAGCGGAGTGTGGCCAGGCCCCCCCAGGGGGCAGCCGGGGGCACCCAAGGGGGCGTGGGTGTGGGCGAGGGGCGGGGCCTGGGGACGCGGCCGTGGGCGGGGCTCAAAGGCCCCTCTTGTCCGCTCCGGCAGGCGCCAAGGGTCCTCGCGGTCCCGGGAACCGGAATACTCGGACAAGCCCGGCCAGTACCTGATCGGGCACGGTGAGCATGAGGCGAGCTCCGTGGGAGGGGCCTGCGGCATCGTGGGAGGGGCCTGGGCCACTGCTGGGCTCTGCCAGCGGTCCTCGCAGGCCGGCCGGGGCGGGACGGAGGGGGGGGAGCTGTGGCCCTGGCTCAGCTGCCCCTCCCCGCTCAGGCACCAAGGTGTACATCGACCCCTTCACCTACGAGGACCCGAACGAGGCCGTGCGGGAGTTCGCCAAGGAGATCGACGTCTCGTACGTCAAGATCGAGGAGGTGATCGGGGCAGGTAGGAGCGGCCGCGCTCGGGGGCCCCCGCGTCAGCTCCGGCAGGCAGCGGGCACCCGCCGGGGGCACCTGTGGCGGGAGGGGGCGCGGCAGGAGCCCCCGCAGGCCCCGTGTGGACGGGCTGGGCCCCAGCCCGCCCCCTGCCCACCCGCCGGTCGCTCTGGAGCGCTGGGGGCGGGAGGGACCCACGCCCGGTCCTCGCGTCTCCCCACAACACGCGATTGCAGGCTCCTCCTCGGTGCCATCAACGGAGGGCCCTGAAGTCGCGCGGGGAGCCAGGGATCGGGGCCCAACCTTGCATGGGATAGCGCTCCCCCTTGGTTTCGGAGGCCCGGTGACGGCCGATTGGGAATCTGAACTCTGCAAAATATGGAAGGCAGCTTGCAGCCCAAGCGGAGATGCCCGCGTGCAGCGGTGCGAGCCAACGCTTGCCTGCCCCGGCGAAACAGGCAAGAGCGGCAGCCGCGGGAAGTTGCCCCCGCAGAGAAACAGGCACGGGTACGAAGCTGCCCCCCTCCCCCCCGCCAAGCGGGGAGGCAGGTGGGCCGGCAGACCCCTGGCTGGGCCCGCAGGGGTCTCCCTCTGCGGAGTCACCCCCCCACGGCCCGTTCTGGGAACAATTGCCAAATGCCGGGCCAGCTGGACTCAGTGGCAGGGCAGCCTGGGGGCCGCGCTCTCACGGCGGCAGGACCCGAGAAAGCTGGGAAGCAACGGGCCATGGGAAGGGAGTCCGGCCTGGGAAGGAGGCGTCGGAGGAGGAGGGTAACCGGGCAGCCTCCCCTCCTCAGCTCTAGAGCAGTGCCTCCGAGTCGGGGGGTCCCAGAACCCGCAGGGAAAGGAGACGGGCCAGCTGCACCCGCAGGAGCGCCCAGGCCCTGCGCTGGGGAAACCTCCGGCTGAAAGGATCCAGCACCTGCGGGAGGGTTGCTGCTGCCTGTCGGAGCAGGCAACACTGGCCCCAGCCACGAGGCGCGGCAACGACTGCGGCTTTCTGCGGCCCAACCGGGAGCCGCCCCCTCCCCTGCCTTCGTGGGGGAACAGCCGTTTTTGAGAAGGGGCAGAAAACGTCGTCCACGTGGTCTCGGTTCTCCAGCCGCAGAGCCACCGTCCTGTGGAAGGCCTCCCATCCACTGGGCACGTCCGAGTTCGCAGTTAGAGGGGACGCCGGGTTGCTGCGCCAGTGTGGCTGCTGCTTCTGCCCGCCCCGGAGAACCGCACGGTGCCGCGGGGCCCAGGGAGGCCGGCCCGGTTCCCAGGTTGCCCTTGCCGCCCCTCAGCTGCCTCTCCCGCCCCGACAGGTGAGTTCGGAGAGGTGTGCCGTGGGCTCCTCAAGGTGCCGGGCAAGAAGGAGATCTACGTGGCCATCAAGACGCTGAAGGGGGGCTACACGGAGAAGCAGCGCCGCGAGTTCCTCAGCGAGGCCAGCATCATGGGCCAGTTCGAGCACCCCAACATCATCCGCCTGGACGGCGTCATCACCAGCAGCATCCCTGTCATGATCATCACGGAGTTCATGGAGAACGGGGCCCTCGACTCCTTCCTGCGGGTGAGTGGGGGCTGCGGCCCGGCCACGCGGGGCCCCGAACGCCACGGAGCAGCCGCCGGCCCCGGATACTGGGGGTTGCAGGCCACCCCGCCCGGAGCGCACCCGGTCAGAACCGGCTGGGACACCCCTGTCCAGCCCGCAAGACCTGTGGGAGAGGCGTCCCCATGGCTTGCGCTAAGCAGGGGGTGGAGGAGCCCCCGGGGTGCCGGCGGGGCTGAGGGGGCGTCTGGCTGCGAGCGACTGCCGTCTCCTGCGTGGGAGCCTTGCCCTTTGCCCCCGGCCGTCTCCCAGCGGGCCCCGTTCACGACAGCCGCGTCCAGCCTCAGGGGAGCCGACCCGCCTCGGGGTGGGCCCCACCGCCTCCCTGCGGCTCGGAGCCCGGGGGCTGGCGCGTCTCCCGCCCCGTGTGGCGCCCCGTGCCGGCCTCGGAGTGGCTCTGCCCCGCCTGAGCGCCCCTCTCGCCGCCCGCAGCTGAACGACGGCCAGTTCACGCCCATCCAGCTGGTGGGCATGCTGCGTGGGATCGCCTCGGGCATGCGCTACCTCTCCGACATGAGTTACGTGCACCGGGACCTGGCCGCCCGGAACATCCTGGTGAACAGCAACCTGGTCTGCAAAGTTTCGGATTTCGGGCTGTCTCGTTTCCTGGAGGAGAACTCGTCCGACCCCACCTACACCAGCTCCCTGGTGAGCAGCGGCACCTTCTCCAGGTGGCCCGCGGGACCCCCGCATCCTCCCCCCCGCACCTCGCACTGGGTGGAGGGCAACCGGCGCTGGGCTTGGGGAGGAGGGGTGCCAGCGGCAGGGCCCCCGAGGTCTCCGGGAGGTGCAGGGTGGAAGCCCTGTATTTTCTGGGAGAAGAGGAGGTTGGAGGCACCCTCTAGGGCAGTGATGGCGAACCTTTTGGAGGCCGAGTGCCCAAACTGCAACCCAAAACCCACTAAATTATCGCAAAGTGCCAACACTGCAATAACACCTGAAAACTGAGGTTTTAGTCTAGAAAAAACACCTCACAGCCAGGCCAAGAAACGAGTCGCGGCTAATGAGTCGTGGCTTGTGACATCATTGCCTGGCGCCGCTACTCCTTTCTGAGCATACGCAGGGCCCTCCCCCCGTGCGCTGTTATCCGATGCTCGGCTGTTGGGGTGATGCTGGGCGACTCGGATCACGTGCTGACATAGAGGGCTCTGCGTGCCCACTGTGGAACCCTACCCTGGTGCACACCCCTGACCCTAATATAGGGCTGAGGTTCCATTGAAAATAATGCAATTTTGAAAAAGCCGTCGCTGAGTAGCTTTTTCTGCCCAGCTCATCATTTCTGCCCATTCTAAACACATTCCAACCATCAAAATCATGCCAGGACACCTCGTTTCCCTAACCCTAACCCTACCCTGGTGCACACCCCTAACCCTAATATAGGGCTAAGATTCCATTGAAAATAGGGCGATTTTGAAAAAGCCTTTCCTGAGGAGCTCTTTCTGCCCAGCTCATCATTTCTGCCCATTCTAAACACATTCCAACCATCAAAATCATGCCAGGACACCTCGTTTTCCTAACCCTAACCCTACCCTGGTGCATATTCCTAACCCTAATATAGGGCTGAGGTTCCACTGAAAAGAGGGCAATTTTGAAAAAGCCGTCCTTGAGTAGCTTTTTCTGCCCAGCTCATCCTTTCTGCCCATGCTAAACACATTCCAACCCTCAACATCATGCCGGGACACCTCGTTTTCCCAACCCTAACCCAGTGATGGTCAACCTTTTAGAGGCCGAGTGCCCAAACTGCAACCCAAAACCCACTTATTTACTGCAAAGTGTCAACACTGCAATAAAACCTGAAAACTGAGGTTTTAGTCTAGAAAAAACACCTCGCAGCCAGGCCAAGCAAAGGTATATATACCCTTGGCAGCGCACTGACCAGCCATGCGAAAGCTCGGATGAGTCGCGGCTAATGAGTCGCAGCTCGTGACGTCATCGCCTGGCGCCACCACTCCTTTCTGAGCAGGCGCATGGCCCCCATGTGTGCTGTTATCCGATGCTCGGCTGCTGGGGCGAATTGGCCCGCGTGCCACCAGAGAGGGCCCCATAGGTTCGCCACCGCTGCTCTAGGGAGTCGGGCCTTGGGCCCTGCAGCCCAGTGCTGCTGACACTGACTGGCAGCTGTGGCGTTCAGGGTTTCAGGCAGGAATGTTCCCAGTTCGAAAGCTCTCGGGGGCCGAGCCGGGGGCCCTCTGGGTGCCAGGATAAGGCCAGAAGAGGAGGCAGGTCCTGGGGAGGGCCTGCTTCTTATGTGCCCGGTGCCCCTGCCGTATGAGCCGACAGACGCCTCTGGGAAGCCCACAGGGAGGCCGGGGGAGAAATGCCGGCATCGCCAGCCTGCCACCGTTGTGCCGCCGGCTGCCACGGAGCAGTCCCAGCTGGCAGCCCGGCAGCGTCCTCCCGCCAGACATGCTGGATCCCCTTCAAAGCGTCGCCGTGCATGTTTTTTTCGGAGGGGCAGGTGGCACAACAGACCTTGCGGCACCTCCAGCCTGGCGCTCTCCAGAGGTGCCAACCACAGCACCTATCATTCCCAGCCCGATGTGGGGGCTGCGGCTCCCATCGCTCCAGGGCTGGAGGCGGCCGTGAGCCCTGCTTGGTGGCATCCTGAGCGGAGGGAGAAGATGCTGGCGGATGAGGAATGGGAATGCCTGAAGAGCGTTCAGGGGGAGATGGAACCGAGCCTGGAATTCAGGAAGGGCGGAGCGGCCCTGGGGCTTCCTCTGGAACGGGCCGATTCGGCTAAATCCACTCCATCTGTGTTTCCTGGCGCTCGCTTGGCCCTGCTCACTGGCAGAGTCGGAATTTTAGGGTGGTGAGCATTTTTCCACTCATGCAGAGGCCCATTAGCGTAAATCTGCCATTAATTGTGCAAGTGCGCACGGGTGCAGATACGCATTAACGGAAGGGCAGATTCCTACAGATTTCCCGCAAAGGTCCAAATGTATATGCCAGTCCGCAGGACTGGAGAGACTTGGAAAAGTCAGGAGGCTGCCGAGTTCGGAGAGTCCTGGAAGAGTTCTCCGCCAGCTGCGCCTCTTCCCGGGCTGACTCCCCTCCTGCACCTCGCGTCTCTCCTTAGGGCGGGAAGATCCCGATCCGGTGGACGGCCCCAGAAGCCATCGCCTTCCGCAAGTTCACCTCCGCCAGCGACGTCTGGAGTTATGGCATCGTGATGTGGGAAGTCATGTCCTTTGGGGAGCGGCCGTACTGGGACATGTCCAATCAGGACGTGAGTGCCGGGCCCTGGGCCTGCTTGCAGGAGGCTTGCTCTGCCGGGCGGGGGGGGGGGGCTGTGGAGGTCTCCCCGACGAAGCCTGCTTCACCCCCATGGACCCTGCCCAGCCTGCTGGTGTCCAAAGCTGTTGATAACGGGTCAAACCCCTGGAGCCGTTTTGCTTTCTGGGAGTTTCTCCCTCATTGCAGAAAGCAATTTAAAAGCAAATAACCATCGGGGGCACAGTGTCGTAATTCAGGGGCCGCATCCTAACAGGCACGGGCTCGTGCACGGACACCGACTGTGGTGGGAACGCCTCACGGCCGGCTGGCCACTTCAGGGAAGCTCTCGGCGGCTCGTTCCTGCGGGAGACGGGCAGAGAGCAAGAGGGAGCCAGGGAGGTCAGGAGCACCCAGTGCCAAGAAGCCCCTCCGGCCAGCGACCGGGACCCCCCTTGCAGGAGCAGCGTTCGGTCATTTAGCAGGGGGCTGCACAAGCCACGGCACCCCCAAGGGACTGGCGAGCCCCAGAAAAGGGTCTGCGGGCCCTCAGCGGAAAGCACAACCGCTTAACCCCGGGGAACGTACGCGCGGTCGGAATAGCTCTCCGCGCATCTCGACTAGAGTTGGCCAAAAGTGTTTGCTTCGAGGAGTGGGCACCCCCATCTTCCCGGGGAGCCGCCTCCGGTCCTTCCAGGCTGCACACGCCTCGCTCGCTCGCCCGCACGCGTCCCGCCCCCGTCCTCGGCTCTGCTGCCCCGGCCACAGGCACCGGGCCGGAGTGGTCGAGCCCCGGGCAGGCGCGCCCCGCCGGGCCGTCCGAGGAGGCCCCCCGGCCGGCCCCGAGCCCACGAGCCGCCCCGCCCTTCCCCAGGTGATCAACGCCATCGAGCAGGACTACCGGCTGCCGCCCCCGACGGACTGCCCGGCCTCGCTGCACCAGCTGATGCTGGACTGCTGGCAGAAGGACCGCAACGCCCGGCCACGCTTCACACAGGTCGTCAGCTCCCTGGACAAGCTGATCCGGAACCCGGCCAGCCTCAAGATCGTCTCGCGGGGGAACGCGGGGTGAGCCGGCGCCCCTGGCCCAAGGACTGCTCTCCGGAGGGGGCGGGGGGCCCGTCGGCGCTGCCGGACGTCCCGGAACGGCTGAGCCAGCCGCGGGCCTTTTCCAAGGGGGACCGCGGCGTTTCCCCCAGCGTATTTCCCCTGCGGTGGGGAGGGGGCCTTCGTGGGCCTCCCGCTAGGGTGGGAGTCTGCGCGACGCGGCTGCCCCGAGAGCTTTCGGGCCAGCAGGGGCTCGGGCCCGCGTCCCCCTGCGTCGTGCTGGGTCCCTCGCGCCGCCGCCGTCGTCGTGGGGGCCCGCCCTTCGCCCGCCCTGGCTGGGGCGCTGCCCGGCCCCTCCTGGAGACCCGAGCCGCGTGGCCCCGGCCCCGCTGGCCCCGGCCGCTCACCCGCCCGCCGGGCGCTCCTCCCGCAGGCCATCCCACGCGCTCCTGGACCAGCGGCTGCCCCACTATTCCTCCTTCGGCTCCGTGGGCGACTGGCTGCGCGCCCTCAAGATGGGCCGCTACGAGGACAGCTTCGCCAGCGCCGGCTTCACCTCCTTCGAGCTGGTCAGCCAGCTCTCGAGCGAGTGAGTCAGTCGGGGGCCGGCGGCGGGGGGCGGGCGGGCCGGGCCAGGGGCACGCGAGGGAGAGGGCCCCGCTGAGCGCGGCGCCTCGCTTGCCTTCCAGGGACCTGCTCCGCATCGGGGTGACCCTGGCCGGGCACCAGAAGAAGATTATGTCCAGCGTGCAGAACATGCGAGCCCAGGGCAAGGGGGCCTCCTCGGCGGGGCCCAAGGGGGGCCACTACTGACCCACGGAGCGGCGATGACGTCAAGCCGACCCTCCCGGGGCCTCCGACAGCTGGGGCCGCCCGGGGACCTGGCCGCTTGGCCTGGGAGACCGGCCCCCTCCTCCCCGGCCTCCCCTCTCGCTCGCGGGAATCAGCTCCTCGCTCCCTCCTCCGGGTATCTTCTTTCTGGAAGGGCTGCCAAGGTATTTTAGCTCTTAGACTGACTGGTTCAGCGAAGATGGTGGATGTGGGGGTGTCCCAGCCCCCCGGCGAGGGGTCGGCTGCCCCGGCCGGCCAGGAGGCTGCCGGCGTCTCCCACCCCGGCTCTGTCGCTTGGGTCCTGCATTCCTGAGCCACCGAAGCTTCCGGGGCGTCTGTGCTTCCACGCAGCCACCCGGACCCTCAGGACCGTGGAAATGCCAAAGGTGGCCTCAGGCCAGCCAATTCCCGGGCAGCCGTTCTGCCTCTTTGGGAACAGCCGCTTGGCTGGTGGGAGATGCCTGGTGGCGGCAGCGATCCCGCACGGCCCACCGGGCGGAAATGCGAAGCGGAGAACGAAGTTCCTCTGTGGCTCCCGAGAACCGCCTGGCTCGAGACGGCCGCCCCCGGGACTGCCGTCGCGCCGATCCTGCGAGGGCCCGCGGGTTCGCTGTGCCGCTCTGCCGCCTGCGGTTTGGCCGTTGCCCCGGCAGCGCGGAGCCGGGCGGAGGGCGTGCGGGCAACCGCCAGAGGCCTCACGAAACGTGCCGCGCCCCGTTCCGACGCAGCGGGAGGACGGCCGCCCCAGTCCAGCGAGTTCTGGAAACAGCGCGCCGTGCTTGAAGACCGCCGGCCTGCTTCGCACGGAGAGGGTGGGACGCGGGTTTCCGAGCAAAGCCCCGAGCCGTCCCTGGCCGAAAAGCCAAAGAAGGACGGGGTGCTGGGCAGCGCCGACTGCACAGGACGGGCTTTTCGGGGCGTCCCGTCCATGGCACATGCTGCGCGAAGTCATCGGAGCAGAAGGGCCCGCAGCCCTCCGCCGGGGACTCGTTCGACAATCAGACAACTCTGCACTTTCTGGTGGGACAGTGTGAGGCTGCCCCGGGGATGCAAGGCGGGACGTGGACGGGGGGTCCCGCGCTGGCCCACAAGAGCGGGCGGGCGGGCACGGGGCATCCGGGCACCGGACGGTGGTGTCGCAATGGCGAGACGCCCCCGTGGGCCCTGCAGGCGGTGGGGGGAGCCGGCGGAGGGCGCCCCGTTTCCCGAACGACGTGCCTCTGGACGAAGCGTGGGTGCCGATCGCCGATGTCGTGGGGACAGCCTGCGACGTCACATCGAGCGCCGATTCTTTTGTACCAAGTCTTAACCTTCATATTGAAGGTGGTGATGTTGCTTTTTATTAAAAATGTACCTTATAAACCAGGTTAAGGGAGAATTGCCTGAGGTGGGTTTCTTGACAGTGGAAGGTTTTGGTGCTAACGCCACAGCAGCCTTTCTCCATCGGTTGTCTTCCTTCTCGGCTAAAGCGGGAAGTGGCGCGGGCCACCACGGGGGCCCCGGGCAAAGGGAGGCACGCGGGGCCTGGCCCCAAGCCCGGTGGGCTACCTCGTGGGCCTTTGGGGCCCCTAAAGGAACCGGGACTGTCCAGTCCGAGAGCCGGGGAAACCGGGCCTGAACGGCGGGTGCTGTGCCACTCTTCCAAACGGCCGCCCTCCCCTTGTGATGGATCGCAGAGCCCATCATTCCCTGCCAGCGTGGCCCTAGGAATGGTGGGGGCTGCAGCCCAACACACTGGAGTGCCCCGGCTTGCAAGGGGCCACGCTGACGGGCGCCTCGGCTCCGTCTTCGCAGGGCACGTGCTACCCCTGAGCGTTGCTCCCCTGAGCCCCACGTGGGATGAGGGATGGGGCAGAGCCGCATTCTGGGGGGCTCGACGGGCCCCTGCGCCTGCCTGTTTGCCCCTCCAGGCGTCAGCTGGACCTCACACAAGTGGGACTTGGCAGGTGGGGGGCAGATGTGGATTTGCGGAATGGGGGAAGTTCTGGAGGGCCTTCTCTGGAAACACGCTAATTTAAAACTTTTTTGGAACATTCCCTCTGCTTCCTTGCTTGCTTGCTTAATAAAAGCTTGCCTCTTTTTAAAAATGCCACCTCCAGATGGGGCTTGTTACGCAGCACATCAAGGAGGTCTTCTAGGTGATGCGGGGCAGGGGGGGCACCTGGCCCAGCTGTCCCCACACCCCTAACAGAGGGGGCCAAGCTTACTGCTTCTGCCCCCATCCGCTGCGCAGGCCGGGAGCGGAACGCAGATGCCACCGCCGGCAAGCGGGCAGAAGTCCCTCCAGCTCAGCAAGGTGGGGAGGACATGGCACGACCCCCACGCTCAGCCCGGCTTGGGGGCCTCAGGGGGCGTGGACCAGAGGGGCGAGGGGCCGGACCCTTTGCATTTGGGGGGCTGGGCCCGTGCGTCGGTGCTGCAGGCGCCGGGATACACCTGGTGGAGCGTTCTGGGGCATCCCCTTTGCTGCGAGGCCAAGAGGCCGCCTGGGAGCATGAAAGCGAGTGGGGGGCAAGACGTGACCCACCCCTGGATTGAGACAGGCTGTGGGGCAGGCTGGATGCTGCGCCCCCAGAGGGATGGTCAGCCGTGAGCAAAGCATCCCACGTGACACAAGCCGGCAGTGGTGCGTATGGAGGGCATCTGCAGAGAATTCGGCTTTGCCATGCTTCTAGTCCTTAAGGCTGCTTGGCCCCGGGAAGTACAGATGGAATGATGCTTCCTCCCTGTGGGGAGTGGGGGGGCATGTGCAAAATGGGTTTCCAGGGCAGAGGAGGCGGTGGGGGGGGGTCAACTTCACTGAGTTCAAGGATTTAAAAGTGCTGAGCCAACGGCGATGCGGCTTTTCTGCCCCGCAAGCCTTGCGGGCTGTTGAGAGAGCAGGCTCTGTTGCCCTCGAGGGGAGTGGGGGCTTCCCGTCTTTGCTCCGTCCCCAAGCCAGGGCCCGCCAGACGCATCGGACGGGACTTCACATGGCCCCCAACCACAGGCCCTGGCTCACAGGTGCGAACGAGAATTTCAGAGCAGCGCGTCTTGGCACGGGTTGGAGAAGCGCTGGGGCAGAGTCAAAGGTGAAGGGGGCCTGGGCAAATGCCTTGGAGGAGGTCCCTCAGCCGCTTGGGGGAGGTCCGGACACTTCCCAGGGGTGGAGGGGGGCACGGCTGCCTGGGACGCCTGGAGGGCCACGTGGGGCCCCGGGTCCAGCCATTCTGGAGCCCCTCCCATGTTCTCCGCATGCAGGGCAGAGGCAGCGAGCACCTGAAGGCGGGTCGCCTGGTGTGGGGGTGCCCCCTCATGCCCTGCCCGGGCTTCCCAGAGGCAGCGGGATGTCCCCCGTCGGAGGCAGAAAGCTGGGCTGGATGGATCCCCCCAGCTCTGTCCGCACCGCCACCGCTCCGGAGCCGCTGGGGAGCCCGGGTCGCTCGGTTCCCCGCCAGCGCCGGGGCTGGGGGGGGGCAGGAAAGGCGCGGCGCGGCTCCCACCCAAAGCCACGGGACGCGTCGCAGGAAGCCTGCTGGGCCACGGCTCCTCTGCTGTGGGAAGGGAAGCGGGAGGTCAGGTTCCCCAGCCGAGAACAAAGGCCGCCAGGGCGGGCGACGGGCCCCTGAGTCGCGGGTAGGGGCTGCCCGGCCCGGAGGCCAGCAGCCCCCCCGCGCCGGACGGAAGCTCCCGTGGGGAGGGGCTCGGCAGAGGGGCCGCAGCCACGGGGCGGCGACGCCAAACCGGCCTCTCAAAATGGAGTCCGGGGGCACCTCGCCCCCCCCCCGCTTCGCAGGTGAAGCCTGTCTCCGGGAGGTGCGCTCAGGGCCTGCAGCCATTCTGCGCCGCGCCCCCCGCACCACCCCAGCTTCTCCCCGAAAGGGCGGGACCGTGGCCCCTCCGGGCAGCCGGCCCCCCGCCCCGGTGCTCCGCTGCGCGGAAAGCTTTCCCCGGCGGCCCGCCTGGACCGGGCTGCCTGGCCTGCTCGCACCTCCTGCCCCCCCCCCGCCCCGCCATGCGGGTCTGCGTCCCCCGCGGATCACGCGAGGCGCACTTCGCGGGCCCCGCCGTGGCGGGGGATCGCCGGGCAGCCGCGTGGGGGCGGCACTCATCCCCGCAGCGCTCAGGGCAAGCGCGCCTCCCCGCCGCCCCGGAAGGCTGCGGCTGCGGGCCAGGGGCGCGTCCCGCACTGCGTCCCAAGGCCCGGGCAGCCCGAGGGGCGCGGGGTTCCTCCTCCGGGGGTGGCGGCCCGCGCCGGCACGCCCGGGCC